GGGTCCTAGTAGGTTGGGCCCTTGTTCTTACCTCGTTCTCCGCCTTGATCGTCTTTGGTATCATCATCGTCATGTTGTGGCCTCTTTGATGATTCGCCACCGAGCATTGTCTTTAGGCCTCTACACTCTCGCATGGTGTGCTTGCCATCCTTGTGGATAGGGCATGGGTCGTCTAGCAGTTTGCGAAATTAGCATCATAGGTGCGCTTGGCACGGGTGTTGACGGTGTTGATGAAGTAATCAGGCCGGCGACGGCTACCTTGTCTACCTCTCAAGCTATCCGGCGGTTGTCGCGTCGGGGCTCGCAGTCATCATGACGACGATCGCGGTCGTCGTGGTGGTCTTGGTCATCGGCGGTGGTCGTGGTCATCACGGCGGATCATCACGACGGTCATCGTCGTGGCATTGATGGTGAGTAGAGCGGGCAGCCCGTTCAGCTTCTTTAGTGTCGGCATATCCGTTTGCCATTTGTATCAGTTAGCCAATGGTTGTAGGCCTCTTGCGGTACAGCTTGCCACTAAGTTGCTCGTGCCGAAACCCTTTGGTGAAGGCAGCGATGGCCTCGGCGTCAGTGATGTTAGGAACAGAGTTTCTTATCTCCGAGAAGCGCTGATAAAGGCACGCAGGGACTTCCTGGGAAACCGATGAAGCTTCTCTAGGTCAAACTTGGTGCCGGGCTATTCGCACGTAGCCATATAATTGTCGGTGAAGGCTTTCTTGTGGTCGTCCCAAGATCGGATGGAGTTCTCCTACAGGCTAAGGAGCCAATTATTCACAGACTGGTTAAGCATGACGTGTAGATAGTTCGCCATGACGTCTTTGCTCCTCCTACAACTCTCACGATGATCTCGTATAGAGTTAGCCACTGAGCGGGGTTGGCTTTTCCGTCATAGGTGTTAACATCAAGGACCTTGAAACCCACAGGCCACCGGACAACTCGAAGCCTTTCCATGAAGGGCAAAGTCCTGATGCGCCGGCGGGAAGTGGGGCTTGACGGGGCAGCAAATCCCTCATGTTCGGTGTCGAATTGCCGGCGACGCTCCATCTCTGCATCATAGCATGCGACCCTACTATTTTTGATGCGCCTACGGACATCTGTGCCGATATTGATGTGGCCACGAAGGTTGTGAGAGAGGGGTTGATTAACCTCCTAGTTGCGGTTGCCGCCCCGACCTCCCTAGGGGCGCGGTGGGCGGCCGTCGTGGTATGAATGAGCTTCATAGTTGCCTCTAGATCCTCTATGAAGGTAGGGACCTCTAGCCTGAGGTCGGGGGCCCTCGGCGCCGTGATGCTAGCCTCCTCCATCGCGATGGGAGCGGTGGCTACGAGCTGATGCGATGGAATAAGACGGGATGTCATTCCAAAACTCGTTGACTTGGACTTGCGCTGCTATGATATGTGCTCGAACCTTCTTGACCTCTGGAGTGTGAGGGAGTTTGTCGAGCTTGTTGAACGCGACGTCTAGATTAGTGCTTGGAGTTTGGTAGACTGGCTGGTCACCCACCATGTCGAATGCCTCCTCCAGATTGCGTTGATGGTGGGACGGACCACGACCATCCTCGTGGGCCCCTTGGGCTGCTTCGGCATCTCGGCGATGTTGGCGGTTGACGTTCTTCGCTAGAAGAGCCTCGCGCTCTTCAGTGGTTTCGGCGTCCTTGGTGACGCTATCGTGGCTGACATGGAAAATCACGCCCCCAAACCCCGGAGGGAAAACAGGGTAGCTTGGCACGGTCTAGTTTGAGCCCTAGAATAATTGTCGAGGCTCTCCTTCAGAACGTCATGAAGAGATTCGGTCGGGAGAGAGGGATCATCCGAAAGCTGGCGGACAGCCACCATGTGGACCATAGGCAAAGGCTGACCGGAGTCAGTCGGGTTGATCATGTAGAGGTCGGTGACGTGGTCGCACTCGACGTGGTCGACAAAGAGGTGGTGGATGGCGTTCTGGTACGCAGGTCCCGCACCCTCCAGCCCAAAAAGATAGGGCTTCGGCGGATCCTCCATCGGGGCCTTATAGTCAGCCAAACGTAGGCGATAGCGGGAAGTGGTCGGCGGCGCACCGTGCGCCCCTTTGGAGTGGCCGTGATCACCAGATTGGAATCTAGCCGCCTTGAATGGTGTGGCCTAGCAGGTCGCTCGGTTACAACGGCTTGGTGATCTTGGAGTATGGGAAATTTGTCGCTCGCTCTAGATTGATCTGAGATCGAATCCACGAGGAGCTGACATTCTGCTAAGTGGTCTATGACCCGATCGATGGATGTGATCAGATCATCATTGTTGATGGATCTCCTAACCCAGCGGCGGGGTGCCGGATCGGAGATGTTGCAGGTGTTGACGCGATCGGCGTAGGGTGATCCTGCACCGCCTCCACGATCTCCCCGTTGCCATCGGGGTTGATGACCCGTGTCATGGATCCGACCATGAAGATCTGGCCCGGCTCGGGGAAGGCCATGAAGCTTGGGAAGAAGACCGTGCGCCCCTACCTGGCGTGCCACTATCAACGAAATACGTCATGCAGTCTATCGAGGGGTATGTCTATGGTAGTAGATGAATCGGTGGAGGTGCGCGTGAGGGAACCGGATGGTGGCACAGAATGCAAGAGACAGCGATTAGACAGGTTTGGGCCGTCAGCTTGATGTAATACCTTACGTCCTATGTCTTTGTGGATTGTATTGCGTATGATCATATGAAAGCGAGGGGTCCCTACCCGCCTTATATAGCTCGGGGGTAGGGTTACAGATCGGTTGTTTCTATCCTGATCGGTTTTACAAGATAGGAAGTTACAGATATTACGGGATCTGGTGTATCCGAGCAGGTCTCCTAGATTACTAGAAATCTTCATGCAGTCTTGCGAGGCACGCCGACCGGTATCATGCCTTGTACGGTGCGGTCTCAGTGCAGTCTTATGGGCTGGCCCTCCCCTAACGGCTCGGCCCATGTACAACCCTACTGGTATCGGGGGTTATACCCCCACACCCCCCTCCCCAATCCGCCCCGTCGTGGAGCCTTTGGAGCCCCATGAAGTTTGCGCCATAAATTACTGCATAGGACAGCGGTGGCGACTGCACCGCTTGCATAGCAAGCACTTTGAAGGCCTAACCGAAGTTGATAAACGCTTCACCTAGATGGTCAAACCTGCACCGCAGTTGGCGCTGGCTTCCAACATTTTGTAACATTCACAACCGCTAGGTACCAGTGAAATTTCTCAATATTAATTGAAAGTAACACCTGCACTAATAGAGTTGTATCTAATTTTTTCTATCTTTAAATTAACAAAATTAACATCTGCATGATATTATATATAATAATTATGGCAGCGACAAGTTTAACATATCGCGTGTAATACTTTTCGACCATTGTATTAACAACGTCATCTTTATAGTTCAATAGCACCTTAGGGTCTCCTTCATGTTTTAACAAGTTGAAAATAAATATATTTTCTAAATAAACATCTCTACCTTCTCTATGTTGTAGGTGTTGTTCTTGCCGGATACAATGAATATAAGCACTTCGGACCTGAAAATTTTTAACTTGACAGTAAAAAACTTAACGTAGATATTTGGTATACATCAATCAACCCAAAAGACAGTAATAAACATACTTACAACGTTATTCACTTGCTCGTCGTCACAAAAAAAACAATCAATGTCATCTTTACCCAATTATTATCAATGTTGACCTTTTTTTTTCTAGTGTTGCTTTTATGTATTCAATTATATCAGCATCTTCAATACACTCATAATCTACGGAGAAATTATTTTTATTATTTATTCCCAAATAAATAAAGAATATATAATTGAAGACCACTAACTTTGAGGTAGGATTTTTGCATTGTTTGACTTCTTATGTTTATTATGTCGGGATGATGTCTTCATATGTGTGTTAAGACTATCGACTTCACATCCATGGCCATCTCACCGACGCAGAGCCTCTCTACAATCCTGGTGCCAGCGCCGAGGACCTGACGATAGGGACGATGCCCGCGAGCTCGGCTGACGCAGAGAAGATGAATGAGAAGATGAAGCGGCAGTACGAGGAAGGACATCAACAACCAGCGTCAGGACACGAGGGAAGGAAGATGTTTTCCTGCGGCGCGATTGAGGGGCTTTCTGTATTTGCCTGAGGGACGCGGCGTCCGCGCTACCTTCTGCGATTGTCGTGCTCTGCGCAGGGTGTTTCCGATTTTGAACGTGCGTGATTGCGCTCAAGATTGGCTCCCAAAGCACAAAGCATGCAGGAGAAAAGAGAGGAAAGCCTGCCATGCGCATGCAGATGAAAATTTTGGTGTATTATGGAGGGGTAGAGATCCTCTGCCTGGTTTGAGCTAAACTTGGTTTCATTTCTCAGCTAATGCAACATAATTTTCTTTGGGGGAATGAGCTCATACCCTTGATGTGTTTAATTAATCGCTCTGGTTCCAATCAGAGCATTTTTTACATAAGTACGTAGTTAGGAAATACCCATCCTCGCAGCAACCCCGATTTTTGGATGTCCCTTTCCCAAGCCCAGTAGGCCAGCAGTACACTACTGACTGTCCAATTGGATGAAGTCGTAATAGCAAAGCTACAAACGCAATTCATTTAGCACAAGCACACTCTAGATTTGACCGTGTTCAGTAATCACAGGCAGTAATTCAACATCACAGCTCAGGACTCCAAAACCATACCCTCCATCCATTTAGCACTGATCTAGTGCTAATGAATGTTTAGCATCAGAGAATACATGCACGCATGCCTGGATTTCGATTTCTTCCAGCCCTACCTATGCCTACACTGAACTGCCTACGCTGAACAAACTGAGAAATACAAGGGAGCTCTTCTAACATCATACGCTCCCCCGGCTAGGCAGAGCGCTTCAACAAGCCTCTCATGGTTGATGGTTCTCAGCTCCATCGCCCTAGCTACAACTTCCACCCCCAGAGCTAGCACTAATATCACTTGCAACATAAGGAACGCTGCTGCTGCTGCTACTGCTACTCTACTACCACCACCAGCCAGCCTTTCCTTAGTTATCTAGGCCCAACATCATCCGGAGCTCTTCGACGCGCATCTCCTTATCATCCTTGCCTCCCTTCTTCCCAAATGCACTGCTGATCAGCCGCTTCTTCCTCTCCTGCATGGCCAGTATCCTCTCCTCGATGCTGCCCTTCACGATGAGCCTTATCACCTTCACTTCTTTCTTCTGTCCGATCCGGTGCACCCTGCCCATGGCTTGCTCCTCTACCCCAGGGTTCCACCACGGGTCAAACAGGTACACAGTCGAGGCAGCTGTGAGGTTCACGCCGGCTCCCGCGGCTTTCAAGCTGGCCAGTAGCACAGTTGGGGAGTCAGGGCCACCGTGAGTGAATTCTTGGATGACTTGCAGCCTCTTCTTCGCGCTCATTGAGCCGTCGAGACGTAGTGTCTCAAAGCCTGCCTTCCTGAGGGGAGCTTCCAGCAAGATCAGCGTCTGCTTGAACTGACTAAAAACAACAGACTTCGACGAGGGGTCTGTAAAATAATCTGCTGCCCTCATGTATAAACGCATGGCAGGGACAGGCACCGAAAGGCTCCCCCATAACACTGTAGCACAGCAGGGATAGGCGTCAAAGTTAGCTCTACTGTCACATCTAGTCACTGTAGCAACATGGCAGCCTGATATGTATGTGTACTATAATTAGATGGGTAGAGTTGTATATATAGCTTCTCACTGCAACTCAGTAAAGTGAGCGAGTTCAGTTTTGTCATCTTCTCTGCAGAGCTCCGACCAACAGCTGGTGCTTGTGTTGTGTGTGCTCTATTCTTCCTTCCTTCTTCTACCTCTAGCCATAGTGTGTGCTGCGTCTTCGTCAAACGAAGAGCCCCGCTAACACCGACGAACCCGCGACCCGCGATGGCTACGAACAGCCCCGCTAGCCTCTGTGCCGCGCGAGTCCGCACGCCCCCAGATCGCCCCCGCAGTCCATCGTGTCCGCCCCACGCCCGCGACGAGCATGATGCATGCCCAGTGCCCCCACGGCCACAACACCCCACGTCCGCCGGCCCCAGCACCTCCGTCCGCTAGGCCCCGGCGAACCACGTGCCCTCGTCTGTCCCGGCTCGCCCCTCCCGGCCGAACAACATAGAAAGCTGGAATAAAACACATGCAACAATATGGATACAACTACTGCAACATTAAATTGAAGTAGCTGAAACACCAAGAACATATATATTGCAACAACAAGGAACAATCAGCTGTAACAATAGGATGAAGCAGTTGAAACACCATGAACATATTATTGCAACAACAAAGGAACAACAACTGAAATATTAGGTTGAAGCAGCTGAAACATCATGAACATATTATTACAACGACATGAAACAAGCTGCTGCAACAATAGGTTGAAGGAGCTGAAGCATTTGGAACATATTATTGCAACAACACCGAACAAACTGCTGCAACAAATAGGTTGAAGGAGCTAAAACATTTGAAACATATTATTGCAACACTGGTGTGAAGCATATGAAACAACGCTCGAAATAAAAACACTTGTAATAACATGGAACAACTACTGTAATATGAGATTGAAGCAACTAAAATATACTGCAATATCTCAAAGCAGTACTATTGCAACATCGCAAAAACATCTGTTGCAATAACAAAAAAAACCTATTGTAACATTCGAAATCATCTGTTGCAACATAAAAAAACCATACAACACGGCGAGATCTGCCCCCCCCCCGAGAGCTCGCCGAAACCCTAGCCACCGCCGCATCCCTTAGATCCAGATGATGATGATGATGAGGAGGAGGAGGAGGGCTTAGATCCAGAGGAGGAGGGGGAGGAGGGCTCAGATTAAGATCTAGAGGAGGAGCAAGGCCTCAGATCTAAATCTCTCCGCGACCTATCTCGTCGGAGCCACTGCCATCGTCCTCGTTTTCGGTGGGGTGCGGGAGCCGGGTCGCAGGGAGAGTGGGGGTGCATGAAGATCATGGAGGGCGAGGGACGGAGGGAGGAAGGGAGCACGGGAGGGCGCGCAGTGAGCACGCGTGCGGAGGGAGGGAGGGAGGTCGCGGAGGGCGAGGGACAGAGGGAGGGAGGTGGGTGTTACACCCTAAATCATTACTAAAACATGTCATGAGCATCATGTTTATGTGTTAATGCTTGTGATAAAGTATGTAGATAAATTTTTGTAACTTAAAATAATCAATAAAATGCTAAATGAAAGTTGATTCAATAGCTCATGTATATCAAGTAGGGTTGAAAATCAATTTTTATTAATTACAAATACTATAGTACAAACTTTGTAGATGACAGTGAAATACTTGCTGTCGAAAAAGAATATTACTAGCTAATATTTCTACTAGCCTAGAAAATGCAAATTGAAATCAAGTTCAGCTCAAAAACTTAGAAAATTTCTAAGTTTATCAACAGCTAGACATTGCTATGTTTAGCAAATTAATTTGAGATATTGGGTTAAGGGGTGGTATAGTGTTATAGCTCGATTTGATAGTCTCATATGCCATCTTGAGCATGGTGAAGATGATTTGGCTCATGAAGCAACCGTTTAGTTTTTATAGGCGCTTTAAAATTCATGCACGACACGGTTTCGGGCTGGTTGACCGCGTGGGCGTGGTCACCATGTTCAGGCGTTCGGCGTCGCCACGCTGACCGTCCCGCGCGCACGCGTGGCTGGCCATGGCTATGACCTAATTGTGGCTTGGCCGCCGCTGGCTCCTGGCGCGCGGAGCCGCTGCTACTGCTTACGTAGCCGGGCGGTCCTGCCGCCGGCCCCGCCACGCTGCCGCACTGCCGACCTCCCCACGTCGTGACGCAGCCGCTGCCGGTGCTGTCGCCTCACCGTCATGTCCGTGCCTCCCTCCGCATCTCTGGCCGTTGCCGGCCTAGTGCAATGCCGCCTCAGCCGCGCGCATGTGGCCGGGCTCGCCGTCGCCTTGTCAATGATGGCACTGCGGCGCGCGGGCCATGTTGGTCATGAACGCGCGCGCATGTCTGCTAGCCCCTACGCGTGGGCCTCCACATTCATGCCAATCGCATCCTGCCATGGCGAGGATGAGCCGATCCCACCTGCCGTGCCTCTCTCTCTTTCTCTCTTTCTCCCCCTGCTGCCGCCACGAGCCACGCCATCCAATTTACCCATCGAACGATCACCTCCATTCAATTCAGTGCATCCACGGTTTCAACATCACGTCCTCTCGCTGCCCGACCCTACCTAGTCTTAAATCGTGCAAGGCCAAGCTCCAATTTGGAGTTTCTTCCATCGCCATGCCGATAAGGCCGCATCCGACCGTGGACGAGAGTAGCCCTCCTACCGTCCCTCCCGAACCAATTCACTTGCACCACTAGCTTCGCCTTGCCTCTCTCTCCACCTTGTGCACGTCAGCGGAACCGCTACCATCTCCTCGTCGTTGTTGACGCGATCGTGCCGCCGCGGTGCGCCGCCGCATGGCTCGGCCTCACGTGGCCAGCACTCCTCCATCATCCTCCGCCCCAACCGTCACCTTGGCTAGGTCCACGGTAGTCTACTGATGCTCCCTCGCCAGCCAGTTAGGTTCTTAGGTGCTCTGGATCGTCGGGGCAGCTGCGCCACCGCCGCGGATGGTCGCGCGTCGCTGTAGCTCGCTCCAGCGTGTCCGCCGCCCTACGTTGCTGCTTAGTGTAGGCGGTTGGACCGTAGTTAGAGGTGAGCCCGATCAACGGGCCAGTGTGAGCCTCTGGTGGCCGCTGTGCACTGAGCTGCCAGGGGTGCGCATGTGTGAATTAGAGAAAGTCCAGGGGTTTAAGTGATAACGTTTGAGAGAGAGGGAAATAGTGTTAGGATTTAGTTGTAATTCTAGAGAAAGTCGAGGTCTCTTTTGCTAAATCGCCAGCACGCGTGGGCTTTCCCCGGCGCGGGCCGACCTCACGTGGGCCGCGCCTGCAGGCTGCTGCGCGCACGCTATGTCACGTGGGCCGCGCGGGCGAATTCGTTTTTTTCATAAGGAATTAGAAATAGTTTTCTAATTTAATTTTTGAGCTGATCTTTGGTAATCATATAAAATCATGTAGGTGTTCAAAAATTATGGAACAAATTTTGTTAGGTTCCTAAAATTATACTTTATCTATTAGTGTATTTAGTTCATGTATATACATGTTGATACCAGGGGCTATTAAATCATTTGAGAGTGCTTAATATTATTAGATTAAATGTTTAGGAATTTTTGTGGTAATTGGTGATAGCTTTAGTCTTGAATTTTTTATGGTAGCTTCATTGTATTATTATGTGCTCACTGTAATTTTTTAGCCTTAGAATATACTAAACATTAGGGTAGTTAAATACTTTTGTTTCAATATACATTAAATCATTAGTAGAAATAAAGATATATCCTTCATTTGTAAAGCTAGGTGTTTGTTAGTTGAACCCAACACTTTGCTTGGTAAAGATGATAGTTAGCTTAGTACCTTAGTAATTAGAGCTAGCTTAGTAGCTTAGTCTGCGTATTCTTAGTTTAGAAGTTGCTATTGCTTAAATGCTAAGTGTTGCATCATCATCGCATGTATATAGAGAATGAGCTGGCGGAGATCGTGACCACTGGCGATCACGAGTTCGAGGAAATCGTCGAGGAGTACGAGGAGGAGATTCTCGTGCAGGAGAGATCCCAGAGCCACCACTGACTGACTCAGCTGACACCGCGCCTACCCTAGACAAGACCCGGTGCATAATCCCTTATTTTTGGATAATCACTGTTTATATATGTTATGTGCATTTACGTTACAGGAATTTTATGAAAACCACATGTACAGATATACATGTCCTAAGACTCTTACTAGTGCAGGTTCGGGTAGCTGCTCTGCTTAGATTTTTGATAGCGTGAGTAACCTGTCGTTACTCATAATAAGTGATTATTATATTTACTCTCATGATAAAATTATGAAAGGAAAAATGGAGATAGGGTAGGGATATGGTATGAGTATTGGTGGGTGTAACAAGTTCTGTCCCGCGGCCAACATGGCTTAGCTTGGTTACACCAGTTTTTCTCTGTTCATGTCGATTAATGACCGTCCGTTTCTGTGGATGGTAGTCAGGTCACAGACTTATTATCCTGAGCATATACTTGCTTATGGGAGCTGAAGGCTCGTTACGCTCTTATCGTGGGTTTCGGATCTTTCCGGACCGACTGGTTGGAGGAGGGGAATGGTGGAGGTCCAAGCACCATATTGAGATCGGGTCTCAAAATTTGGACGGGGACCTAGACCCCATGACAGGAGTGGAATGGGTTGATCTTATTTGTGCCTAGGGTACAGATGGGGCGTGTTTTTCGAGGTACCCAGCTGGGATACATTGTTTCACGAATTATCGTTTCTGTGAGACGGTACGACCTGGCTATGGTCTAGCACCGTAGTAAGAATTAGAAGATGAAAGATGGTGAAATGGTTCTAATTGCTGAACCCTTGCTTGAAAGTAGAACATATACTTAGCTGGAATGGTTAGCTAATAAAGTAATCATGTCTGCTAATAAAACTTGACTGTAAGAATGAACTATTAGTAATGCTTTCCGCAAACAAAAAGAAACCAGCAAACACATATTGCCTATCATATCCTTGAGAGTCGGGAAACTATTTCCACTAGTTGTGTAAGTATTGCGAGTACATTGTGTACTCAGGGTTTATTTTACCCCTGTTGCAGGTGCAGCTTGAGTAGTAGCTCTTGTGTGGATGATTCTTCTAGTGACCACAGACGGATCCTTATATCGTTTCCGCTAGATGTTTATTTTTATTCCACTGTTTAATTATCGCACTCTAAACTCTAGGATTGTAATAAATAATTTCTAAGAATTCTTGTTGTATAAAATGGACAAAGTATTGTAAGCTCGTACTCATTATTGGATTCTGGATGTAAAACGTGGATTGCTTCAAGTTCTCCCTTAGTGTGGGCTTGACGGAACTGACCGATGTAGCTAAATTTTGGGGTGCTTAGTGTCTAGTGAAAGACGAGCGCCTCCGGAATCGTGTTATTTCGGACGGTTCTGCCACAGGAGGGAGCTCGCGCAATGACGGCACGAAGAGCGGGCACAAAAGCGGCGCGGAGAGCGAGTGTGGGAGAGAGCGAGGGTGGGGAAACGGGCGGAGTGCGACTGCGGGAGAGAGCGACTGCGGGGCAGCAGGTGGAGCGGGTGAAGTGCGAGTGCGGGGGGAGCGGGTAAAGTGACATGACGTCGGGCGGGCGGATAAGACGAAGTGTAATCGGTAAAGTCGCAAATGGTCGTCTGACACGCGTCATAGCATTTCTGAATTTTTACTGCTTCGATTCCATCTTGTAACCGTTGGCAAGGATTCCAAAAGTTTCGTACTTTGGAGATCTTTTTGGCTACTTTTGTTAACTACTATAAAACTTGTCAGAGTCTGCTATTATCATTGTATAAGTATCACACGTATCATGTAATGTAATCCAACCGTCCGAAAATAAGTACGTGCCTAGTATATTTCGAGAAGTCAACAAATTCTAAATTTAACCAAGTATATAGAAAAAATATTAATGATTGTGGGCTTAGACAAGCGTTATTAGATATATATCATTTGATTTATCTATCTAATAACGTTTGTCTAAACCCACAATCATTTGATTTATCTAATAACGCTTGTCTAAACTCACAATCATTTGATTTATCTAATAACGCTTGTCTAAACTCACAATCATTTGATTTATCTAATAACGCTTGTCTAAACTCACAATCATTTGATTTATCTAATAACGCTTGTCTCTGGGCCTTGGCCTATCACGTGAACTGCTGCCGAGAGCACGAGGCCACCTCCGGGCTCCGGCTCCAAGAGACCAAGACCAAGCACACAACGTTGAGACTTGACGCCTTGACAGGACATGACATGAGCAAGAGATTACGAGTACGTGACCACTAGCAGGCAGATGGCAGCTGCCCCCTGAAAGCCGATAGGCCTCGCATGGTTGATAGATGACCTCGCATGTTGGATACGACGGACGCAGGCGTATCCAACATGATCTCGCATGCACGGATGAGCCGATTACGGCTGGTCGCTGGATAGTTGCGTGCCTACCGATGCCAAGAAATTTGCGTGCCTACTTTTGTGATAGTTGCGTCGTTGCGTGATGGTACTGCAGTACATGCTTAATTTACACTGAGTGCATATTTTGTTAGAAAATGTGCATGCAGTGGAGAGAAAAAGTGGCCGCCGTACCTGGAAATATAAGTAGCGCTTTTCAACGTCTACGAGATCACGCCCTACTCCCTCGCCGTCCAGATCCGATGGTTCAAGCAAGTGCTCGACATGCTCCTCGCCTCCACAGATCTCGGTATGTACCACATCATGATCATCCTATCGCCATCGATCAGCGTCAGTTTTTGTCTGGCCCATCGTGGAACTATTATCCCGCGCTAGCTAGCTCGGTTCTTGTCCGGAAGAATGTGTGGATGACACAATAGATAGATGACACGACGGACGCAGGCGTATCCAACATGATCTCGCATGCACGGATGAGCCGATTACGGCTGGTCGCTGGATAGTTGCGTGCCTACCGATGCCAAGAAATTTGCGTGCCTACTTTATTTGTGATAGTTGCGTCGTTGCGTGATGGTACTGCAGTACATGCTTATTTTACACCAGTTTGTTTTTGTTAGAAAAATGAGCAGGTAGAGAAAAGTGTAAATATAAGTAGTTTTCATCCGTGGTAGATACTCCTTTTGTCCCGAAAAGAATGCAATTATGTGATTCGTTCTAGTCAAACTAGCTCGAATTTAATCAAATTTAATATTTGTCTCTAAATAAATTTATTATAAAAGTATATTATGTGATTAATTTAATGATACTTATTTTATATCATAAATGTAAGGATTTTTTCATATAATTTTGCTCAAAGTTTATATTAGTTGGTTTCTTGAAAAATGAGAATTACATTCCTTCTTAGAGGGAGAGAATATATATTAAGCTAAAATTCTAATTCACATACCATCTCTTTCCGTATCATCTACTCTCTCATCTTGTCTTTTTTTTAGCAAGGAAAATTGAGATTGAGATTCTTTTTAAACCTGATGTCTTCTAAAAAACAACTAGTAATTAAGAAATTAAAATAACAAATGAACTACTCCCTCCATTCTAATTCGTGAGGGGCAAGGTAGTCTTTTCCCAAGCTCCTTATTTTGCCTATAAATCATTTGGATACCTTATATTTTATGACGGAAAGAGTACCTATCACTCTTCATATCTTGATTTCCATAGACATAGTTCTTGTCTAAAGCCAGACTGAGTGGTGTTTTATGTCACTGTTTGTAAGACTCTCATGTGTTGGAAACTGTGTAGACAAGATTCATCCCCATGAAACTCATTTTATCCCATGAAACTTTTATCATATCTCTCTTCTCATTAATACCATGTCACACCTTCTTATTAATGATTTTAGAAACTGTCCTAGTTTTTGGGTTAAGATTGCCCTTAATAACGCCTTTTGTGGAACATTGATTAGAAGTCATGCACTGATGCACAAATTGACATATGCACATCCAAGATGATAGCAACATTACAAAATCACACTTGCATACTTAGCTTGCTTGCTGTGATTAACAATGATACGCGCGATGCGCGTGCATCAATTCAACATGCCACGGCGTAGTTTTTCTTGTCCTTAAATGGCATGTGCTCCGTGTATATCACTGTTGGCTGTGCCTGCACATGAGGATAGAATGCCATACATATCTAACGATGATGTATTGATGTGCATAAGAAACATGCCCTTGAGGGAAAATTCTACTTAACCATGGCACCATATATGACCTTAACACTGCACCGTACATGCAGAGCGTCAGGAGATCATGGAGAGCTCGCTGTTCCTAGTGGAGATCGGCGGCAACGATTACATCCACCCCTTGTTCCAGAACAACACGCTGGGCTGGGTGAAGCCCCTGGTGCCCCTCGTCATCGGCTCCATCGGATCGGCCCTGGAGGCGCTCATCCAGCTCGGCGCCACGACGGTGTACGTGCCGGGCGTCTTCCCGCTGGGCTGCTCCCCGCGGCACCTCTTCCTCTTCCGCGGCGTCAGCACCGCCGGCGACTACGACCCCGCCACCGGCTGCCTCCGGTGGCTGAACGACCTCACCGCCCTCCACAACAGCCTCCTCCGCGCGAAGCTCGCCCAGCTCCGCCGCGACCACCCGGGCGTCTCCCTCGTCTACGTCGACTACTACGGCAAGATCATGGACGCCGTCGCCTCCCCGGCGGCGGGCCCTACAACGGCAACTTCACCGTCCACTGCTCGGAGCCGGGCGCCGTGCTGTGCCCCGACCCGTCTGTCTACGTGTCCTGGGACGGGCTGCACTTCACCGAGGCCATGTACAAGATCATGGCCCGGGACCTGTTCCCGAATGTTTTGTTCACGCTGGAGTCATAGATGCTGAATAAAATCGTTCATCGGTTCATGGCCGGCAATGGTGCATGGATGTCACGGGCTCACGGCCGGCTGCCGCATTTCACCAGCTGCACGGGCGGCGCGGCGTAGGCTCCCCGGAGCACGCCGTCGGCGATGACCTGGTACGCGTGGTCCGTGAAGTGGAACCCGTCCCAGGACACGGCCTCGTAGGGGTGGCGGCACGTGGTGGACGTGCTCGCGCCGCAGTGCGCCGTCAGGTTGGTGTTGTACGGCCCCCTCCTCCGCAGCACGACACTAGCGGCGCGCCGCCGAACCCATGCTTACGGGGGTCGGCGGTGATGTCCATCGCGGCGGCGTAGTAATCGGCGTAGACGAGGGCGACGCCCCGGTGGCGCCGGCGGAGCTCGGCCAGCTCCGCCATGAGCGCGCGGTTGTGGAGCTCGGAGAGGCCGTTGGGCCACCGGAGGCAGCCCATGGAGTCGTATTGCGCCGTGTCGTTGGTCTGGAACTGCGCCAGGTATCCCGGGTTGCACCCCGTCGGGAAGTTCCCGGGCACCACCACCGTCCTGGCGCCTAGCCCGATCAGTTCCTGCAAATTAATTAAGAACACGCGTCGACATGACATGCATGGATCATTTGATTTCGGCCGTGAGAGAATTGATTTGTTGCGGCGAGGAGGAGAGGACGAGGACGGACGGTGAGAGCAGCGCTGATGCCGGCGACGACGTCGGGGACGTAGGTCTTGACCTCGTCGACGGACCTGCCCTGGAACAAGGCCTGGTTGTAGTCGTTCCCGCCGATCTCTCCGAGCAGGAACAACGAGCTCGCCATCAGATCACCTTGCTGTGACGAAACCATGCGGAGGACTTTCTTGAGCCAGCGCATCTGCCAACGCAGGGAGTACGGCGTGAAACGGGCGTCAAGCTTCTTCCTCCTGAAGTAGCCGCGGCCGAGCGCCGTCGCGCCGCCCACCGCGAAGTTGGCGCCGTGGGCGTAGTCACCGCTCTTGTTGCCGGCGAGGTAGGGCGTCAGGAACGGTATCCCCAACGCGTCGGCTGCACATACGACGTACGTACATGCATGACACCAGCAGCGGCGCACGTCAGCGCGTACATATACTCCTCGTCGGCGGCGTGCGTGGGAACGGGAAGACGAGTGAATGTACCGATGTGGTCGATGATGATCCTGCCGTCGCAGAAGCGGCCGTTGGGGCGGCGGAAGAACGTCTCCCCGTACGGCGGCCTCGCCACGGCGCCTGGCGACCGAGCGTAGTGCATCCAGTTGCCGTTGTCGGTGATGGAGTCGCCGAAGCTGAAGAGCCTCGTGAAGCACGCGCCGCCGCCGTGGACGCGCCACGGCTCTGACTCTGCGCCGCCGATGAGGACCGCGCAGGCGGCGACGAGGAGCCATGTCGCGGTGGCGAGAACTCGAGAAGCCGCCGCCGTCACCATCGATCACCCGTCCTGGAGAAAGAAACGCCAAGGGGCGTCTGTGTAGTGCACCGCACATTTATAGGACGGACGAAGGAGGGTGGTGATCCTGGCCGACGATCGAGTTCCTTCCGGCAGGCGCGCCATCACCAATGCTGCATTCATGACTTTTGAGCTTAGTGCTTCCAGTCTTCCACTAATCGAGGCTTTCAGTTGGTGCACAAGTGCTGTGTGGGTTCAGGTGACGTTTTGTTTCCTGAGGAGGCCCTGCTAGTCTGCTACGTTCTGGTTACCTGTTGGTGGGTAGGGTATAGGTATACCAACAATACAAACTGGGTAGAGTATGGGCATGTGAAGTGGATTATCCATGAGCTAGTCTTGGGGGTGTTTGGTTCCCAGCCTTGATTGCCATGCCACGGCCGTAGAAAATCGGATGTTGTTTGGTTCCTGCATAAAGTGAGGCTCGCCACAGCAATCTTAGTTCATTTGCGCCAGTTTTTTCGCCACAACTGCGCCGAGCCTTTTCTCTGCCACAAGACTGCAGCGCGCCACAGCCTGGCGTGGCTTCCAACGGTGGGTATCCAAACAGCTCCTTTAGCTTAATACATAATATATTATATTAGTAGAAATAGCAGAATTAAATAATACAAAGTCTGTTTTAGTTTTGGATCTCTAATATGGGACTCACATGTCGATCTTACTGCAGTAATCTACACAAAGTACTGAGTAATTGATAAAATTTTAGATAAGTCTGCTGAAATTTTAAAGGGTGAACATGGGATTCTTTTTTTTTTTGAACGTGATGAACGCAAAGATTTTTTTAATTCTGGGTCTATCATTTAATATGGGCCCACATATATGTCTAGTATATTCTAACCACGCCGATATGCAAGAAATAGTTGAAATCATTTTTCTTAAATTTTAAGTGTGAACGCCAGGTTTTTAATTTTAGATTCGAGCCATGACTGAAACCAACAAGCGAACATGCTGTTTGACATGAGTAGTCTTGTTGATCTGCATATATGGTCCTTACTTTTGCTATTGTAGCTGTCGTGAGGACATGCTATGTTCGGCTTACCCCATATTCGGCTTCTTTTTTCAGCCGGAACAACGTTTTTCTCTCACAACAATTTATCCGAAACAGTGTTTTTCAGCCAGTTTCAGTCAAGTTTCAGACCAGCGAACGGGCCGTATCCTGAACTCAACTCTCTCTCTCTCTCGGGCCCTCTGAAACCCGTATTCCTGATGCATCGATGCATACTAGGGTATGTGTGAAAACTGCAGTGATCACAGGGGCTACGGCTCAGTGAGCCAGTGTCAAATGCATCGTGTACCAGAGGGCAGAGGCAGAATGGTCAAGCAGGGCATGTTTTCTTAGCGGTCCCAGATCAGTCGTCACTCTTCAGTACCATCCGAAGTTTGAAAGGTTAGTGCCGTGCTTTACATATAGCTACACGTTCTTGTCTTGAGTGAAATATGGTATCACGAGATGGGCTGCAGGCCGAGATGCGTTTGCTATCTGCAAGGAAAAATCATGCAGCAGCCAGTCAGCCACGCCTTGCTCGGCAGAGGAGGATGGCGAGTCATTTTCGTGGCAAGGGCAGGGCATGGGGGCACAGTACACTGCCGGGTTCGAGCCAGTTCGGCTGGTTTTAAAACCGGTTGATAAGTCGGTTGAAAGCTGTTTTATTGTGAGAGAAAAATACTAGCAGGCTAATACGAGCAGGCCGGTTCATTGCCAGAACTAACTGCGGTTCCACATCACATCACGTGAAGGACATCGTCGGAGCCTGCGGCGAGGGTGGCCGCCAAGAATCGTGTCGTTAGGACTCGTTGACTTGTCCCTTCATCGTGTAAAGTTATTTATATTTAGACAAACAAGACGGAAGAGCCTACTATATTAATTTTTAATATGATAATGTAATGTACAATGCTACTAATATTAATTAACTTGCAGCATATATTTCCATAAAAGATAACAATAGTACAACAAAGAAATTAAAAGAACAACTATGGTTACCTTAAATAAAACAAGAACTTTACTATCGCGCGAGCGTACTGACCTTATGTGATCTGAATGCATATTCATATTTAAAAACGTATTAAGTAGGCTGCTGGCACCTTACTACTGTCACAGTGTCACCTTGCTTCTGACTTAGTATATAGGTAAAAACTGCCTTGCCTTTGTACACAAGAAGCAACGGTTGCTGAAACGGGTGAGATTATATCACTCCAGAAAACGCTACTACTAAACAAAGTGCCTGTTCTACGTACAAGCTGATCCATTACGACCTCCATCGCAGCGCAAGCACTGCAAAATCCATGGAACCGCGTGCTTCTACCAAGGGACGCCTTACGCCTACCTGGGATAGCTAGTGTCGTCCTGCTAATAATTAATTCTCGGGCACCTTTGGAGCAGCCGCAACGAGATTGTGTGCAGTGCCGCTTTGTTCCTCTTCGCTGCTGCGGTTACCTCCCATGTTCACAGCGCTACTCTGACGACGACGACGACTACAAAAGCCCAGACCGGGATGCATCTGTGCTCTGTAGCCCATGGGTAGCTGCTAGTCTAGGTGCCGCTCCGAGCCTATTCAGCAGCCATATATTGGGCTGCATCTGTAGCCCATGGGTACTCATGGCCGAAGAAAGAAAACTATTTTAATTGCATTCTTCCATTTTATATACCTGTGCACAAATTTCTCGAGACCGGCTAATCTGTCGACGTGGCTACCAGACCACTTTGATCACCATCACACTCCCAGCCCGCTTCCCTTGTTTGTTGGTTGCATTGAATGCATGGTTTGTATAATTTAGGCCCACATACGGCCCACTACTCTATACCTCACTTCTTTGTTCTCAAGTTATGAAACTGCATGCTCCGATGTTCAACTAAAAAAAAAGAGTTATAAAACTGCACCACGTCCAAGACCAACCTTCTTTTCTAACGGCAACTCAGAAAACAAATAGCCGTAGTCCTTTATTTGACGTCGAATCAGATTTGCGAAACAAATACCCGACAAGGTGTTCAATCATTCCAAAGCGCGCCCAATAATCATAAAAGTTCACTATGCTTTGCGAAAAGTAGTTCCAATGATGCGTAGGGCCTATTTGATCCATTACCACTGAAAATCAGAAGCTAAAATTAGTACTAACGGATCGAAAAGACCTACTAATTATTAGTTTGAGGGCTGCTAACTATTAGTTTCATTAGCAGGTTTAGAGTTGCTAATAGGTGCTAATAATTCATATATGCACCTTCAACCCATTATCCAACCACCTATTAGCAGGTGGATCCAAATAGCCCCTGCTAAAAATTAGTAGCTGTTAGCTAGCTAAGACATGGGACGGAGTCATTCCTCGTGGAACCGCCAAACGACCTCGTGCCGCATCAATCGATTCCGGATGGTATCACTCTCCAAATCAAACACGTCGTAGGTCGCGTCTTCCTCAGTCTTTAATTTGTGCACATCCCGTTCAACATTTCTGACAGTAGCTTAGCTCTATTGCAAGACTTGGGACCTTCGCGCGCCAGTCGTGTCGTCGAGGGACACCTATGACCTACCACGCCCCTGTCAAAGATGCTTAGTCACAAAATGGAACATCTATTCTCTTTTTCATTGTGGCCGACAAGAAAGATACACCACCACCAACAGTATTCGGTAACAACATCTATTCTCTTTTTATTGCGCAAAACAGGTTGTCTGATTGGTATAGCATCACTAACTCCTACAGTCCTACTCCCTCCAATCACGAACAAATCATGTTACTTTTTTATGTATTGAGTTTGGATTTTAAGGATAATACGAGTAGATTTGTTTAGGGTTGCAGTTTCATAAAACTGTATTTTTACTATGACTTTATAAATATTTGTATAATTTAGGCCCACATACGGCTCACTACTCTATACCTCACTTCTTTGTTCTCAAGTTATGAAACTGCATGCTGCGATGTTCAACTAAAAAAAAAGAGTTATAAAACTGCACCACGTCCAAGACCAACCTTCTTTTCTAACGGCAACTCAGAAAACAAATAGCCGTAGTCCTTTATTTGACGTCGAATCAGATTTGCGAAACAAATACCCGACAAGGTGTTCAATCATTCCAAAGCGCGACCAATAATCATAAAAGTTCACTATGCTTTGCGAAAAGTAGTTCCAATGATGCTTAGGGCCTATTTGATCCATTAGCACTAAAAATTAGAAGCTAAAATTACTACTAACAGATCGAAAAGACCTACTAATTATTAGCTCGAAGGCTGCTAACTATTAGTTCCATTAGCAGGTTTAGAGTTGCTAATAGGTGCTAATAATTCATATATGCACCTTCAACCCATTATCCAACCACTTATTAGCAGGTGGATCAAATAACCCTTGCTAAAAATTAGTAGCTATTAGCTAGCTAAAACATGGGACGTAGTCATTCCTCGTGAAACCGCCAAACGACCTCGTGCCGCATCAATCGATTCCGGATGGTATCACTCTCCAAATCAATCACGTCGTAGGTCACGTCTTCATCGGTCTTTAATTTGTGCACATCCCATTCAACATTTCTGACAGTAGCTTAGCTCTATTGCAAGACTTGGGACCTTCGCGTGCCAGTCGTGTCGTCGAGGGACACCTATGACCTACCACGCCCCTATCCAAAGATGCTTAGTCACAAAATGGAACATCTATTCTCTTTTTCATTGTGGCCGCCAAGAAAGATTCACCACCACCAACAGTATTCGGTAATAATTCGCTTGATCGTATCAGCCATGTTTATTAGTCATGATACAGTGTTTTTCTCTCTCAACAAAACAGCACCAATCGACTTATAAGCCACAGAAATGATCAAGCGAACAGGTGAACCTTTGTAAGGACCACAGAACCTAGCACCATACGAGTATCGAACAGGGTGAGGCATTTGTGTGACAAGCACACACAGAGCCCAGCTGCTGACAGGAATCACATTCATCACTCATCAGTAGTAAAAAGCAACCGGCCGGTTGATCGTCCTCTCCATCAACTATTTTTTATTGCGCAAAACAGGTTGTCTGATTGGTATAGCATCACTAACTCCTACAGTCCTACTCCCTCCAATCACGAACAAATCATGTTACTTTTTTATGTATTGAGTTTGGATTTTAAGGATAATACGAGTAGATTTGTCTTGGGTTGTAGTTTCATAAAACTGTATTTTTACTATGACTTTATAAATATTTGTAACAAAAAGTGCTACTCAAATTATGTTTTGGAGATCGTTGATATCCAAATGCCACTAATTTTGTGACCGGAGAGGGTCGGAGAAATTGCTAAGGCCTTGTTTTGATATATGTGTATCTACTTCAATCCACATGTGTTGGAGTGGATTGAAATGGAACTTAATTTAATTACACTCGAATCCACTTCAACACATATGGATTGAGACGAATACATGCGCATCCAAACAAGGCGTAAAGCATAGGTGAGTTATTCTTCATTCCCATTCATCTGGCTGCCGTCACCACTCACCAGCTGAATATGCATTGCATGCCTGCAAGTTAATTTCCCTGTGGACTTATGTTTGCAATCTAGCTAAAATCCAACAAATAATACGTACATTACATTATGGAGACTTATGTTTGCAATCTAGCTAAAATCCAACAAATAATACGTACATTACATAAAATCCAACAAAACCAAATAGCTTTGCTCGAATAGAGAATTGCTAGAGAACAACATTATGGTACATTACATTATATAAATGCCTATATGCAGCCTTATCGATAATTGAAATGCAACTACACACAACCGCGTCCGCCAAGGTAAAGTTCAGAACCTGCTCCACAAGTTACGCTACTGTGTTGCCAATTGGTTCAGCTGGTTGCCTCTTCACACACGGCCGGTTAGGGTGTCCGTTTGCTACTGTTTCCCACGCTTGTTCCATTGCACTGTGGAGTATCACCTCACTGAGATTTGCAAGATGTGAGATGCCCTCGATGGTTCCTGATGGCAGCTCAGAATTTGGACACAGGAGGTAAAGGGATGTTAGGCTTCTCATGGAACCTTCTTTGAATTGCATTTTTGGAAGCTTTGGGGCGTCAATGCACATGCTCTTAAGACTTTCAAATCCCTTTTTCTCCACAGTGAAAACACCGTTGCAGAATCTATCAGTATTATGCTCTACCATCTTCAAATATTCCAAGCCACGTAGACATTGCAGGGCCGATAGATCTTTGATGGTGAGACCAGTTGAGAAGAGCTGCAGCTTCTTAATTCTACCTAGCTCAGTCAACTTGTTAGAATCAGGCAGACTGTTCAGAATTCCCCGCAGTTTGATAGAACTGATGGTGCACGGACCCTCTAGTGAACCCAAGAAGTCATTGCAAACTTCACTGGAAATAATGGACAGAGACTCGAGAGGGGTGACGCGCATCTTAAGAAGCTTGATAAAATCAGTGTTGTTGCTTGGACGTTCTTCAGTCTTGTTCCAAGGACAGTCATAATGAGCCTGTGACACTACACCACGTGTTTTGCCAGACCTCGGACGCCTTGTTGATGATGGACGATCAGAAGCAGCAACACTGCTTGAGACAGGTTCAGGATCAGGAAATGCATCAGCAGGAGTATCGTTGCACCATACTTTAACCTTCTTCAGGTTTCTTGCGAGAAGTATAACATGTTCGGGGCTTCGTCTCTTATTGGTAACAAATCCAGCAAGTGTGTGAAGTACACTCTTCTTTTTCAGGAACTCATAAAGCTTGTCGGCTTCTTTTCCTTTGGTGGGAACCTCAGGTAGCTGAAACTTGCCAAACAGATAAGCTAACTTGGGCAACATGATGACCTGCATGGGCAATCTTTCCACCCTTGTCTCTCGGATATCCAGCGTTTCCAAACGTTGAAGTTTCTCCATTTTTCGGGGAAGCTTGTTGATGCGAGTTCTCCTGAGGTTGAGATACTTGAGAAGCAGCAACTCACATAGGCCTTCAAGAAATTCCTGGTCAAGGTCAAGCCCATTGCAACCTTCAAGATCAAGGATCCGCAGCATCTTGCACCTCTGTAAATCAGAAGGCGGCTCAGTGTTGAACATTGTTAACGACCTTAAAGCAGACTTGTCATCATCAAGTTCATCAAATCTTTCTTTGGTGCTGGACTGAATAGAGAGTCGGCGGACACAGGCCTCAGTAGTGCTTCCTTTAAGTACGGGCTCATGGTCTTGAATAAGAGTGACCACATTTTTAGCTACTGACCTTTGAATGATGTACTCTAGCACTACACTATGAACTTGACACCTTTTGGCAACTACCGAATTGTTGCAGATCTCCACTGGCTCAACAATACACCGGTCAATCAACTCATCAAAACATTTACAGCCTTCATTGTCAACTAATCCTTCAGCCTTTAATCTTCTCACTAGGCTCTTGCTTTTAATCTGATGGCCCTTAGGGAAAATGCCCAGGTAAAGCATGCAGGACCTGTGGTCATAGTCAGGCAAGCTGTCGTAGCAATGCCTAAGTGCTCTTCTCATTTCCTTGAAGACGCTCACTGTTGTATTGTTGTTGCCAGCTGACAGGTAGTCTTTGCCAAGGTTTTGTCCCACCTCTCTACAGTGAGTACTCTCCAGCTTTTCTCCTATTATATTCAAATGTTTGGCTACACTAGTTAGTGCCAGTGGTAAACCACCACATTTACTGAAGATGCTTTCTGAATCCGTTACCAGTGAATATGGAGGTTCCTTTTGACATCCATAAACCCTTCTCCAGAATAAACTCTTTGAATCACCATCACTAAGATATCCCATTCTGTACACATAACTTCCAGAGCTGCAGGCTGTGGCGACAGAGAGAACACTCGTGGTCACAACTATTCTGCTTTTGCTGCCAAGTTTTGGGCAGGCATCTACTGTATCTTTCCACACTTTTACTTGCTGCACATCGTCAATGAAGACCAAGCACCTAGCAAAGCAAGTTGAATAACATGATTTCAGTAGGACACTAACATATATATGAAATAAACTTATGGTGTTTGGTCACACAAAATCTGACGATTCCAGGCCTCACATAAAAAAAATGAACTCATGTTTAAACAATGTAATGGCTTAGGGGATTAGATATGTTATACGGTTTTACCTTTCTAATTTGTCGTAGACTTTACTTTATAAAAATTATTGTAGACTAGGATTAGACAGGATCTAGAAAACAATTGCTCGTGTGCTGATATTGTACTTACGAATTTTTAAATCGCAAGACCAATTATTTACCACGAGGTTTCAGTGATTAATTAGATAGCAATAAGAGTTGGTAACTTGCCACCTCCAATGCTAAATTATGTAGTACCTCAAGTATCAGACTCGCCTGATAGTTTTAGGAGCCCATACTTAATAGGTCTCCAAAAACCTAAACAAAATCATGTTCTAATCATACTGATCATACTATCTATATCTACACAACGTTTTTTGTGCACATGGATTCAGATCACATGAACTCGAGAGCTTGGCCTTTTATTTTTCAATTAATTAGAAAGGCTATAAAGAAAAGTACGAAAAAGTCAGATAATTTTTGCTAGTTGTATAAGAAATTCTAAACGGCAGACTTATAATTCTATCCGTTGAATACTTCAAACATATATAGAAAAAAATAGAAACACTCGCCAAAATTAAAGGACTGGGATACAGACCTCTTATCGGACAAAATGTCCTGGAGACTGGGTTTTGCGGTGGAAGCGCCTTCAGCTTCCGTGGACGGAGCATTTCCCTCCGTATGATGAGGAGCAGGCCTTCTTGCAAGATCCGCCCGAACACTCTCGAGAACCTTGTCTAGAAGGGCCTTCTTCTTGTTGCATCCAGAAGCTACAACCCAAGCAACGCAGTCGAATTCATCGGAGGAGGAATACTTGGCGTATACTGCTCTTGCGAGGGCAGTTTTTCCCACGCCGCGGCATCCCACGATGGAGATCACTCGCAGCTGCTGCCCCTCCCCTAGCGAGGGCTTGAGCAGCTCAACGATTTTACTCTTGGGCCGGTCCATAGCCTCAAGCTGCTGCTCCTCTGCATATTCTTCATCCGGGTCGCCTGACATAGCAGCAGCCTGATGATGATCTGTATCTTCGCCCTGCTGGTTCGGTTCAGCGCCCTGATGATGCTTCAAATCATTTGCCAGAGACGAGATTGTCTCCTTGAACTGGTCAATGCTTCTGAGCTGTTCGGTACGGGGGTCCATCCTTATGGCCACGAGGAGTTTGCCATAGGCTGCTGGATCCCAGAGACCTTGCACGAAATCTTCGACATCGTAGGCGAACTCCTGCAGCTGCTGAAACCTGATCTCCTGCACCGCTCCTCGGCACTCCGTGTCCTTGTCCTTCATCAAGGCAATCACCATCTCCATCTCCCGCTTGATGGATCGGAGGCCACCGTAGAGTTTGGCATGGCGCTCCTTGTCTTTCTCCATGACACTGCAGGCCTCGGCTACCATAGAGAAAACGAGGCGCACAATTGAACTCATTGCTAGTGAAATGTTGGCAGTCACTCTAGCTAGCTGATGAGTAACTACTCCAAGTGCTTTCTTATCTTAACGACGGGGCGGAGAACGTCCATTTGTGAGGACACATGGGTGTTTGGATTCGATTTCTAAACTTTAGTCGCTGTCTCATCAAATATTTAATATATATAACTAAATATATAGATTGAAATTATTTTACGAGACGAAATTTTCAAACTTAATTTGTCCATAATTTGACAATATGTTGCTACAGTAAACACATGTTAATGACGGTTTAATTAGGTTTAATAAATTTATCTCGTGGATTAACGATGGATTCCGTAATTTATTTTCGTGGCACCCCTGAACTTTTGTCGCCGGATCCAAACACCCATGCATACGAGTATATATCACCCGGTGGCCGACGATATTTTTTAACGAACCGTCAGGAAAGCTCTGCTTATTATGGCCCTGTTTAGTTTCTAAAATTTTTCACTCTAAAGTTTCACATTGAATCTTGTGGCACATGTATGAAGTACTAAATGTAGATGAAAAAAAACTAATTGCACAGTTGGGTGAGAAATCGCAAGACGAAACTTTTGAACCTAATTAGTCCATAATTAGATACTAATTGCCAAATACAAACGAAAGTGCTATAGTAGTCAAAACCAAAAAATTTCGCCAACTAAACACGTCCTATATTAAAGAAGAGAGACGCAGACAGGCAAAGTTAAAGTCTGTACAAAGGTTAGATTAAAAAAAAATCTGTACAGAGGTGGCCGACGACTTGACTCTGTGGCCAAGCGGGTCTAGGTCTCCTCCGTCCATGTCCGTCATACAGTACACTGCAGCAATAATCGGGCCATCTTGCATTATTGGAGTATCACTCGTCCGGGGGTAGGTAAGGGGAGGGCTTATTGGGCGTGTCAAAGGTTGAGCAGACGACTGCACATGTGCCATTAGGCTGATTGAGTATCACAAGGCCGGGGGTAGGTTGAGAGAAGCTTATTGGGCGTGTCAAATGTTGAGACAGACGACTGCACATACAAACAACAATAGTTTGAAAAGCTTTGGTCCATAAGACAAGCACCAAACAACAATAAAAATTAGTTGACTAAAATTAGTTATACTAAAGTTTATATGAACCACTTTAGTCCGATGTGTTTTATAGTGAAAAGATTCCCGACACATACGCAAATGGTCACCTTTTAGTTCATAATAATAGTTCACTTGTTCCATCCGTCTCTAAATGTCTATCATTTTCGTTTTTCGAGAAAAAACTTTGACTAAATATATATTAAAAAATATAATATTTATGATACATAATTATTATCATTGATAGATATTTGAATATAGTTTTTTAATAAATTTATTTAGAGATAGAAATGTTGCACGTATTTTCTATAAATCGAGTCAAAGTTATCGAGACGCAAATCATATGCGACAAACATTTAGGGAGAGAGGAAGTAATGGATAGTTGGGTTGGGAACTAAACTTTAGTTCACATGTTTGGATCCGTAGGTTTTTTGTCTCTAATTAAAAATTTCAAGCAGATGGTTATTCTTTAATCGGGCAATTGTCTACACCTGTTCTACAACACTACTTCATCAATACTTTTCAGCGAACAAATAGAGTTTTTCTTTCACAATAAATCAGCATAAGCTAAATTTCAGTGAAATGTATCAGCATAAACTAAATTTCAATGAAATGAATGCTTATTTGTTGTAAGAGAAAAACATGGTTCGTTTGCTGAAAAGTATTGCTGAACAACAAAGTCTCAAGTCAAGTCGTCAGTCCCCACTCGCCGACAGCGAAGCAGACGAGAGTACGAAGTACATGGTACTCCCCCGTCCATAAAAGAATGCAATTTTCACATCCCGAGAAGTCAAGCAATTCAAACTTGATTAGAATTATATAAAAAAAGTACTAACACTCATGAAACAAAATAAATATCATTAGATTAGTTATAGAATATATTTTCATAATAAATTTATTTAGAGATATAAATACTAATATTATTTTCTATAAACTTAATCAAGCTTAAAGTAGTTTGATCGGCACGCTTTCCATTCTTTTTCGGACAGAGGAATACTCCTATGCTCCACATGTGCAGTCGTCAGTGCAGCGTAGCAGGCGAGAGTACTACATGGTACTACGTTTGTCAATAAAATGCAACTAGAGTACGTGTTAGATGTTAGTTAAAGTGGTTTCCGTTTGATCAATTTTTTCATGAGTATTATTCATATTTATGAGTTTAAATTAATTTATTATAAAAATACATTTCATAACAAATCTAATGATATTTATTTGAATTGCGTCACGACGTGCTCCAATTTAGAGTTTCCCCTCCGCCGAGCCATTAAGGCCGGGACCGACCGTGGCCGAGGGCAGCCACCCATCGTTTCCCTCGCCAATTCATCTACACCACGAACTCCGCCTCCTCCTCCACTTCACCTTGCGCACCTCACTTGCACCTCTACCGCCTCGCCATAGCCACTAACATGGCCGTGCTGTCTCAGAGCGCCGCCGCATCCCACCACCCCCACGTAGCCGGCCCTGTTCGGGAAACCTTCGGCCAAACCACCACCGCAGCCATAACTAGGGTAAGATAGTGATGCTATAGCGCTAGCTAGTTCACCCCGCGGTGGCTTAGGGTGGCCGGCGCGACCGCGCCGCTATCGCGCATGGTCGCATGTCATGGTCACCACTTCCACGAGCTCCGCTGCTCCTGTAACCTAGGCTAGTGTAGGGGCTAGGGTTGTAGGTGCAGATCGGCCCGCTATCTGGGCCGGGGCGGGTCTCGGTTGGTCGGCGTGGCCGTCCAGTGCCGCGTCCGCCGCGCCAGCGCGCGCAGGGGTGGCTAGGGACCTGGCCATGGTGAAGACGATAGTTGCAGGGTCCTATCCGCGTAGTCTCTCTCTCGAGAAATAGTGCTGTGAACTGCGGGTTGATTCGGTCTTAGTGCGGGGGCGTTTTTGCGAAGTTGGCAGCGCGCGCGGGCCTCCCCGTTGTGGGTCGCCTTGCGTGGGCCGCGTCCCCTTGGGCCACGCGGTGATGGGCTGCGGGTGGAATTCGTTTTTCCTTTTTCTTAAAGAATTAGAAATAGATTTATATTTTAATTTCTGGGCTAAACTTTGAAAATTAATATCAATTCGCATAGGTGTCCAAAAATTATGAAACTAATTTTGTTAGGTTTCTAAAATTGTGCTCTATTTGCTAGTATATTTAGTTCATATATATATGTTGATACCAGTGGCTATTAAATCAATTGTGAGTGTTTAGTATTATTTATGTTAGTATTTGTAGGAATTTTTGTGTCAAATTGGTAGTAGCTTTGACCATGAAATTTTTACAGTAGATTCATTGTATTATTATGTGCTTACTGTAATTTTTATAGTCTTAGAATAGGTTGAGAAATATGATAGCTAAGCACTCCTTATTGTAGTATATAGGAAATCGTTAATAAGAGTAAAAATATATTTTAGTTGCTAAGTAGCACTTGTAGGTGAAACCCTGCTGGTTTGATGGAAGTGATAATTAGCTTAGTATCTTAGTCATTAGAGCTAGCTTAGTGGCTTAGTAGATGTATTCTTATTTTTAAGAACTGTTGTTGCCTTAATATTGAGCGTTGTATCGTAATTGCATGCATGTAGAAAACGAGTTGGTGGAGTTCATGATCGAGGGCGAGTAGGAGTACGAAGAGGTGATTGAAGAGTACGAGGAGGAGATCCTCATGCAGGAGGGGTCCCCGAGCAGCCACTGACTGATTGAGCTGACGCCGCACCTGTCCAAGGCAAGCCTCGGTGTATAACCCTTATTTTGAATGATCACTGGATATATATATGTGATGTGCATTTATATTGCAGGTATTTTATAGAAACTACATATATAGATAACCTACCTATGATTTCTACTAGCATAGGTCGAGTAGTTGCTATGCTTAGGATTTTCGGTAGCATGAGTAACCTGTCGTTACTCACAACAGGTGATTATTATTATCACTCTTATGATAAAATGGTGAAAGGAAAATGGAAATCGGGCAGGGATATGGTACGGGTATTGGTGGGTGTAAGAGATTGTGTCCTGCGGCCAACGAGGCATAGCTTGGTTACACTATTGTCCATGTCCGTGTCGGTTAAGGACCGACCGTTGTATTGGATTCTAGTCAGGTCACAGACTTATTATCCTGAGCACATACTTCTTTATGGGAGCAGGGAAGGCTCGTTGCTCTCTTGTCGTGGGTTCCGACTCTTTCTGGACCGACTGATTGGAGGCGAGGATGGTGGAGGTCTAAGCACCACACTGAGTCTAGGACTCAGGTGTGGGGGCTTGGAGTCCAAGTTTGAACGGGAACCTAGACCTCTCGACAGGAGAGTGATGGGTTGGTCTTGCTTGTGCCTGGGGTACAAGCGGGGCATGTGTTTCGGGGTACCTAGCTGGGCACATTGATTCGTGAATCGTCGGGTAAGCTGGTACGACTTGTCTACGATCTAGCACCATAGTAAGAACTAGAAGATGAAAGATGATGAAATGGATCTGTTTGCTCAACTCTTGCTTAAAAGTAGAACATGTGCTTACCTAGAATGGTTAGATAATGAACTAATCATGACTGCTAATAAGAAACATACATAAGGATTCAGTACTAGTATTGTTTTTTTGCAAAAAGAAAACACAGCAAACCATAAAGTTTATCATATCCTTTGGAGTCGAAAAATTATTCCCACTAGTCGTGTAAGTCTTGTTAGTACATTGTGTATTCAGGGTTTATTCACCCCTGTTGCAGGTGCAACTTGAAGAGTAGCTGTTGTGTGGAGGATTTTTCTAGTGGGCATAGACGGATCCTTGTATTCTACCATTAAATGTTTATTGTAATTCCGCTATTTAAATTCCGCACTCTGAACTTAGTATTGTAATAATGTATTTATAAGAATTCTTGCTGTATGAAATGGATTAAGTATTATAAACTTATTCTCATTATTGAATTTTGGAGGAAAAACGTGGATTATTCGAGTTCTTCCTTAGGATGTGCTCGACGGAATCTGTCTAATGTAGCTTGATTTCGGGGTGCTTAGTGTCTGATGGAAGACGAGCGTCTCCGAATGTGTGTTATTTCGGACGGTTCTACCATATCAAGCTTGTGTCGAGTCTAGTGGTTAGTGTGGCTCTTTAGTTAACCTTTGAGAGTACACTAACTTAGTATAGTGACGTAGCCTTTGTGTGCTTAGAGATCATAGTCATTAGAATTGTAGTAGGTGGCTTGTATTTTTAGTAGGCTAGCGCAACACTCGCTTCATTATTTAATTGTCTAACGTCTTTGCTAAATGTTGTTTTAGAAATTTTCAATAGACTATTCATCCTCTCTAGCCATTAGGACCTTTCACATGTTTAGTTGCCTTAATCCAAACTGTCCCTAACTGTAGGCCCCTTGTCTCTAATTAAATTTCCAAGCAGTTGGTTATTCTTTAATCTAGCAATCTCCTTCATCTATCATTATTTGATTGGAACAGAGAGCAAGATAATGGGCGTGTTTATGTCAACTTAAAATCCAATTTTAGGTGAAAATAATCAAGAATCCCACCCAAACACCCTTTATTGTTTTAAGATTCTCTAGGAATCCAGATATGAAAAAAAATCCCAATTGAACTACATGATGTGTTTTCTACCGCAACCTAAGGGTCGCGATTTCCCCACCAGGAGGAATTTTCCAAGCATTGCCCCTCTGCTCCCCCATCCGCTTGTGTAGTCACGGTTTCCCTGTTGCCGTCCCTGCCGCCACCGCATCGGTTCACTCCCTGTCCGCTCGCATGGTGTGGACAACGGACTTTCCCTCAGATCCGCTCGCGTGGTGCGGACTTCCCCTTCGATCTGCTCGCGTGGTGCAGGCTCGTCGCAGGTCTACGGCAGACCACTTCCCCTCCGCTGGCCTCCACGAGGGCTGGCTATGGCGAGCGGTGCTCCCGCGAGGGAGCCGCGGGGGTGGGCGTGGTGGCTGGGGATGAGAGGCGTTGGTGCTGCGGAAGAAAGGAGTCAGAGATGACTCTAGAAAATAGAGGTGATTTCAGGAGAAAGAATCCGTCCCATAATAAGTGCACTTCTAGAGTTTAAAATTTGTCCTAAAATAAGTACTCTCTTCATCCCTAAAAGATCATAATTCTGGAACAGTGTCACGTTTTAGTATATCAAGTTTAACCAATTATAGTTTAAAAGTATAAAGTATTTTATGTGCAGTGCCGCTTTGTTCCTCTTCGCTGCTGCGGTTACCTCCCATGTTCACAGCGCGACTCTGACGACGACGACGACTACAAAAGCCCAGACCGGGATGCATCTGTGCTCTGTAGCCCATGGGTAGCTGCTAGTCTAGGTGCCGCTCCGAGCCTATTCAGCAGCCATATATTGGGCTGCATCTGTAGCCCATGGGTACTCATGGCCGAAGAAAGAAAACTATTTTAATTGCATTCTTCCATTTTATATACCTGTGCACAAATTTCTCGAGACCGGCTAATCTGTCGACGTGGCTACCAGACCACTTTGATCACCATCAGTCCATCACACTCCCAGCCCGCTTCCCTTGTTTGTTGGTTGCATTGAATGCATGGTTTGTATAATTTAGGCCCACATACGGCCCACTACTCTATACCTCACTTCTTTGTTCTCAAGTTATGAAACTGCATGCTCCGATGTTCAACTAAAAAAAAAGAGTTATAAAACTGCACCACGTCCAAGACCAACCTTCTTTTCTAACGGCAACTCAGAAAACAAATAGCCGTAGTCCGCCGTAGTCCTTTATTTGACGTCGAATCAGATTTGTGAAACAAATACCCGACAAGGTGTTCAATCATTCCAAAGCGCGCCCAATAATCATAAAAGTTCACTATGCTTTGCGAAAAGTAGTTTCAATGATGCTTAGGGCCTATTTGATCCTTTAGCACTAAAAATCAGAAGCTAAAATTAGTACTAACGGATCCAAACAGACCTACTAATTATTAGTTGGAGGGCTACTAACTATTAGTTCCATTAGCAGGTTTAGAATTGCTAATAGGTGCTAATAATTCATATATGCACCTTCGACCCATTATCCAACCACCTATTGACAGGTGGATCCAAATAACCCCTGCTGAAAATTAGCTAGCTAAAAATTAGTAGCTATTAGCTGGCTAAAATATGGGACGGAGTCATTCCTCGTGAAATCGCCAAACGACCTCGTGCCGCATCAATCGATTCCGGATGGTATCACTCTCCAAATCAAACACGTCGTAGGTCGCGTCTTCCTCAGTCTTTAATTTGTGCACATCCCGTTCAACATTTTTGACAAAGTAGCTTAGCTCTATTGCAAGACTTGGGACCTTCGCGCGCCAGTCGTGTCGTCGAGGGACACCTATGACCTACCACGCCCCTATCCAAAGATGCTTAGTCACAAAATGGAACATCTATTCTCTTTTTCATTGTGGCAGACAAGAAAGATTCACCGCCACCAACAGTAGTCGGTAACAACGTTTGTAAGGACCACAGAACCACATATATGAGTATCGAATAGGGTGAGGCGTTTGTGTGACAAGCACACACAGAGCCCAGCTGCTGACAGGAATCACATTCATCACTCATCAGTAGTAAAAAGCAACCGGCCGGTTGACCGTCCTCTCCATCAACTACTTTTTATTGCGCAAAACAGGTTGTTTGATTGGTATAGCATCACTAACTCCTACAGTCCTACTCCCTCCGATCACGAACAAATCATGTTACTTTTTTATGTATTGAGTTTGGATTTTAAGGATAATACGAGTAGATTTGTCTAGGGTTGTAGTTTCAAAAAACTGTATTTTTACTATGACTTTATAAATATTTGTAACAAAAAGTGCTACTCAAATTATGTTTTGGAGATCGTTGATATCCAAATGCCACTAATTTTGTGACCGGAGAAGGCCGACTGAGGCCTTGTTTGGATGCATGTGTATCCACTTCAATCCACATGTGTTGGAGTGGATTGGAATGAAACTTAGTTTAATTACGCTCGAATCCACTTCAACACATGTAGATTGAGACGAATACATGCGCATCCAAACAAGACGTAAAGCATAGATGAGTTATTCTTCATTCCCATTCATCTGGCTGCCGTCACCACTCACCAGCTGAATATGCATTGCATGCTTGCAAGTTAATTTCCCTGTGGATGTTTGCAATTTAGCTAAAATCCAACAAATAATACGTACATTACATTATGGAGACTTATGTTTGCAATCTAGCTAAAATCAAACAAATAATACGTATATCACATAAAATCCAACAAAACCAAAAACCTACTGTGCAACGGGGTCTGCAGTGTCGACACTCGACGGGTTCTGGGAGCACGAGCCGCTTGCGTCGTCTCGTCGGAGAGCAGGTACAACAGCAAGCAGGCTTGTCCGTTTTTTTTCAACTGGGATAGTATTTTTCCCTGTCATAAACAGTATTTTCTATCGTAAACAGTGAAAATGTCGTACCAGACGAACACTGCCCAAGCTAGCGGTACACGCCCTCCGATATAGTAACAACCAAGCATTCAGTATGCATAGTATATTATCTTGCTCTCTGCTCCAATCAAATTATATAGATTGAGGAGATTGTCAGATTAAAGAATAAACAATTGCTTAGAAATTTAATTAGAGACGAGAAACCTACTGTTATTGCATGGGTTAGCTGTTTGGTGCTTGTTTTATACCTCCTCAGTCTCGGTGTATAAGGCGTAATCACCTTTGTTTCAAAGATCGAGTAACATATTTAATTATCTCTTAACACTAATACTACTACGTCGATGAACATGTCTTATATTATATGACATCAATAAAAAATAGTTACGCCTTATATTCTAGAATGGAAGCAGTAGACCAAATCTTGTCTTTAACTATTGGCCTTGATCTGAGGAGTGAGGAGTGAGGACGACGGTTCTCTCTCTCATTTAATTGTTTGCAGGAAGGGCTAATATGCAAAAATAAAAGAAAAAAAACAGTATATAGAATGTTATAATTGGCGTTGTACATGTCCTTAGCCTTGCTTAAGGCCAAAGCATGTTTATTTTTTAACCGGATATACTAGAGTTGCTTAAGGGCTAAGGCCGAATTTGTGGGTCTCCCCTATATATCGTCGAACTGTCAAAGTGCCGCACTCATATCATATAGTAGATGTGTACCATTTCTAGTTGTGCAGACTCATCCTTCGTTGTTGTTTCAGTCGGAGAGATAATGGAGGGTCCGCCTATGGCTATGGTGTGCTACTCGATGGGGGCAATCAACTCCCTTGTCGAGAGGATCACCCCACTAGTGGAGAACCATCCCATGACTGAGCACTTGCTGCAAGATCTCCAGAGCCTTAGAGCTGAGTTCATGAACAAATTTGCCGGAGGACGGGCCACGGCTGAGCAAGTCAAGGTGTGGATGAAGCAGGTCCGGGAGATGGTCTACGACATAGAAGACTGGATTGATCTGAAGACGGATTTCAGCGAATCGGACATGAAACAAATTGAAGAATTCAAGGGCGAGATCCAGGAAGCTCGAAGCCGCTGCGAAAGGCACGAGCTTCTGAAGCAAGCCCCTACTTCTGACGCAGAACCTGTTTATGCTGGACCTAGAGAAGTACCCGGCCGTAGATTGTTCTGGGAGGAGAAGCCTGTCCTCGTTGGCCTGAATCATTCAAAACTAGAGATTTTAAATCATCTGGAGAACGATCAGAAGGAGCTGAAGGTGGTTTCCGTACACGGAAGGGGAGGCCATGGCAAGACTGTTCTTGCTAAGGAGATATATGGAGACATCTGTATTAAAGGGCAGTTCGAGTGCAAAGCTTTTGTTTCTGTCAGTCGGAACTCATCGACGAGGACCACACTAATCGAAATACTCCGCCAAGTGAAGTCGGAGGTGGATGCTTGGCAATCCTGGAGCAGCAACGACGAACTGCTCAATGAAATCATCACTGAACTTTGGGGATTCTTACGCACCAAGAGGTATTTTTTCGAGTTAAAATATTTTTACCTCTGTTAGTTTCGTCTAGCATGCTGAATTAATATAGCTTGTACAATAGCATCACAAAATTCGAATATATGCAACTTTTGTTATACAATTCTAACTCTTATTAAAATACAGCTAATCTGACGCAAAAAGAGTCAATCTATATGTTCTTTAATTTCAGATGAGTATTTATGGTTGCTGTTTGGTTTTGTTCTCTAGTTTTGGAAAATGTTGGACATAGATATCCTTGATGTATTTCTACCTTATAGTCTTATACACATGTATAACTTTTCTTTTTGACCCATTCTTCTTAAATCTCTTTGGAATGCATTATATATGTGGGTCCGGTTATGTTTTGATGGATGGACAATGCAGTACTAGACTTCCTACCTCTCTTTCACCTCTTGCCCCTTGGGCTTGTTTATGGCAATAATGACATAACTAAATGTTTTCCCAGAAAAAAAAATGTAACTGATGTTTTTCCTTGCTAATCTGGCTTTTCCCTTTGATGAGATGAGAATAGGTTGGGAAACCTTGCATGAAATTTATTTCAGATAGATAGCAAATCAAAACTAATAACTTGCTGAAACCTAATCTGTTTTGTAGACAAATTGTTAGCTGGTATTATTTAAGTTCATAAAAAAATATGCTGTACTGTAGGGGCATTTTTAAGTAGCTCTTAATCTTGGTGCCTAGTTAATTAAGTTTTACCTTCAAATGCCAGGTATTTCATCTGCATCGATGACATCCGGAGTACACAAGATTCAGATGTTATTATTTGTGCTTTGCCTGATAATGATCTTGGAAGTCGGATATTGACAACAACGCGCATGGAGGATATTGCCATATCATGCTCTAGACGTCCCGATGATGTTGTTTATGAGATGATCCCTCTTGACGAGACTGATTCCAAAAGCTTATTTTGCAATAGTGTATATGTTCAAGAACAAGAATGGCCAGATCATTTCAAAGAATCTTCGAAGAAAATGTTTGAAGTGTGTGGTGGCCTGCCATTGGCCATAATTGTTACAGCGGGTTTTTTAGGGAGGACATCAGCTGAACTGTCGTTGCAGTCAGAAAAGCTTAACAAAACAATTTTATCAGAAACCGATCAATTTTATTCCGAGTCACAAGCAATGAGAAAGATACTGGACATCAGTTTTGCTGATCTACCTCTGCCTCTGAAGTCTTGCTTCTTGTATTTGACTGCTTTTTCAGGAAATTATGACATCATCAAGAAGGATCGTCTGGTAAGAAGATGGGTAGCTGAAGGACTTATCCCTGAAAGGCATGGAAAAAGTTCATGGGAAACAGGGGAGAGCTTCTTTGATGAGCTTATCAGTAGGAGGCTGATCCAACCGGCCTTTGATGGCAATGATGATCAGCCAATTGGTTGCACTGTTCATGGTGTTGTATTTGATTTCTTGGAGTCTTTGTCATCCGAAGAAAACTTTATTACACCAGGTGAAGAGTTGAAGTCTGGACTATTTCCTTGTGAAACGGTTCGGCGAGTCAGTCTCGACTGTGGTGATGAAGACGAAGGTGACACCTTGATCTCAAACACATATTGTCTTTTCGAGCAGAAGAGTTTGGTGTCCTCAAGCTGTGCTGAAGAAGAAGAAGAAGACGATGCAATCTTTTTGCAATTATCTAGGGTGCGGTCCCTTGCATTTTCTGGTGATGCTGGAAGGAGGATCCCTGATCTTTCTGCCTTCAAACATTTGCGGTTGCTGGATCTTGAGGGTACCAAGGGCTTGGAGAACAAACGATTGGAAGGCATTGGACATTTGTCTCTGCTGAGGTACTTAGGACTTGGCGGGACTGATGTCACCAAGCTGCCCCAACAAATCATGGAACTTGAGCAATTGGCTACCCTGGATTTAAGGCGAACAAGAGTGAGAAGATTACCAGTACTGTGTAGAGACACAAAGCTGGTATCTCTGCTCGCCGATGAATTGGCAATCACGCCGAGAGAAATGAGGAGAATGCAAAATTTGGAGGAACTATCAAAAGTTCTTACGGGTCCTGATGGGGCATTTGCTTCGGAACTAGCAGGGCATGTTAATAAGTTGGGACCTTTGAGGATGCTTGGGATAAGATTTAGTCGTATGCAGAGTCATAGCGCAGCTGATCGACAGGGAGTGATGCGTCTCCTTGAGGAGCTGAGGAAATCAAACCTGCAGTCCCTTTTACTTGATAATTACCCTCATCCTCTGCTTGACTTACTGGTTGATTCATCAGCCCACAACCTGCAAAAATTTGAGCTGAGAATACGCGGCTGCCTCCCGCAAGTTCCACAGGAGATAGCATCTCTCATAGCCGTCACGCACCTGCATATCAATGTTGAAGCAGTAGAAGCACAAGGTGTCCGTGCCCTGGGGAGCTTGCCTAACTTGGTCGTCCTGAGACTAGATTTGAATAGCAGTCCAAGCATGACCGTGAGTAGCAATGATGGCTTTCAGTGCCTCAAGTCATTATGGTGTAACAGTCAGTATGGTGGTGGGAAGGGCATGCAGTTTGAAGCTGGAGCCATGCCACAGCTCCGAAGGCTTCGGCTAGAACTCGATGCCCGGGGAACAAGGTCCAAACATGATGATTTCGATATCGGTATCCAGCATCTACCTTCTCTCGTGCAGGTCCATGCAACCATTGACTGGACGAATACTGCTTTAACGGCTTCAGAGGTTGAGGCCGCTGAGAACCAGATCAGAGAACAAGTATCTCGGAGCCCCAACAATCCGGTACTGGAATTGAACAGAAGACGGCAGCGGTATATTGCCAAGCCATTGGAGGAGTTGGTGATCACTGTCAACAGCCTTCAGGAGTGGGGCAAACAGATCGACCACAGAAAGCTGGTGGTGGTTCATTTCTCCGCGGGGTGGTGCGGAGCATCCCGCAAGATCACTCCTGTCTTTGCTGATCTAGCCAAGAAGTTCCAAAATGTTGTTTTCTTGAAGGTCGATGTCGATGTTGATGAAATGGAGACTGTTGCTAAGGAATTCAGTGTTAAGGGCGTGCCAACCTTCCTGTTCATGAAGGGGGGCTCCGTTAAGGACAGGGTTGTTGGCGCAGACAAGGAAGAGCTGGAGGAGGTGCTTCAGGAGCAGGTTGACCTGATGTGATGTTCTAGCCGTCTTCTGCTACTCGGTTCTAGAAACCAGTGGTACTATATACTAAAGTCCATATTTATTTCTTACTATGGCTTGTGTGTAAGTTTGACTGGATTTATAAAAAATATTAGCAATATTTGTATTTTTAAATAAATTTATTATAAAAATAGACTTGATGATCTACTAATTATGTGCCATAAGTATTAATATTTTTTTTTATATATTTAGTTAAGGTTGAGTATGTTTGACTTTTTGGGAATTGTGAACGATGGTTAAAAAGGGGTGGAGTGAGTACTTCCTGCCTTAGTAAGCATCACAAGGCTACTACTACAGGAAGCAAAAACATGAAAATATATTCAGCCTACAACTAACGGACAGCAAAAATATAAAAATATATTCGACGATCTATAAAAATATTAATTATGTGCTATAAATATTAATATTTTTTATATATTTAGTCAATGCTCAAATTGTTTGATCGAGAAGCGAGAACGATACTTATTTTAGAACGGATGGAGTAGATCAAATTAATAAATTGGCAATATTTGGTGTCCCCATTGTAATGCTAAATCCAGGCATTCAGGGGCTTGAGAACGGTCATGGTTCTTTGATGTATTGGCAGCGGACGCTACATATATTTTTAACTAACCAAAAAGAAATCTGAAGAAATAGGAGGACGTGGAATGCTGGGAGATGAACGCAAACGGTATCGGTATGTGTAGGGCTCACGTATCGACAGTAAAACCAAATGTACACAAATTGCACTGGAACACGGGACCACGTGCAGCTCAACCAAAAGGTACCAAAGCCGATCTGTCAAGCACTAGTGCAAAAGGTGGAACATGCAGCCATTAAAATTTATCAAACTATAACGAAAACATCAGAAAAGGTCTGGTGAAACCACATTCAACTCCGAGTTTTGCTTTAAGGTTCACTCCCAACATATGAACACGTGGCATATCTGTGCTTGCAACATAACATTTCCTATTCATTCACGGCTCAATATACAGGTCCATGCACTTGCATCGCAAAGGAGAAAATACAGGTCGATCGGCTCATTTCTTTTCGGTCGTGTGGCTCCAAGAACTGTCGATTTGTGTACAGGGCAGCTGATATGCATGCACCGTTGGGGAAAAGTATTTATCTGCCTTTTCGTTTACATGTCTCACTGGTCCCGGTCACGATCACGATAGATTGGCTGTGGCGTCCACTTGAAGTGCAAGTTCAGTTTTCCCGATTTGGCACCTTGCAAGACAAAGGTATCTTGAAATTCACCTTCAAGTATAACTCTTGTGAGCGTCAAGATGCACCTCCCTATGTAATCCTGCAACGTAATAAATAGGTAACATTAGCACACGAATACAGAGCCAAACACTAGGTTTGAGTTCCAAGGTGCGATTATATTCCACCCAATACAAATCTAGGTAACTCGGCAACTTTACATTAATGGATACAACGAGCACATCGAAGCAGCAAATGCGATGAGAAAAATCAGGAGCAGTAACTATCGGTCACAAAGCAGTGAATGAAAAAGTAAAAACAAGAGGGCTATCTACACATTACTGAAACTGCATAAGCAGCAATAAACATATCAAGTAGCCTGTCCCACAGTTTTTCTCTAACTTGTTAAACCAGAATATTTATTTGGCGGAGATAACAAAAACCAAACACCCTTATAAAGAATAACACAGGGACAAATTGGCAGAAATCTCATGAAGCCATGGAGAATCAAGGTAGGGAGTTTTAGATTTCAAATGAACAAACAATATGCAAGAGACAAAATGTACCTTTCCAAATGTATCATGGTCCCATACTTCCACCATGAGAATCAAGGTAGGGAGTTTTAGATTTCAAATGAACAAACAATATGCAAGAGACAGAATGCACCTTTCCAAATGTATCATGGTCCCATACTTCCACCATGAGCAAATCATGCAGTGCATCTTCTACCATGAAATCAAATGTTTGGTTCCATATTGGATTTAGCGTGTCTGTCACAACCTGCAATAATACTGAATTATGAGAGCCTTGAAAAAGTACAGAACTCTGAGATTGGGAAAGATAATAACCCTTGTCTTCTTTTTGGTTTCTCCCTTCTTTAAGTACAGGACCACAAATGGGTCAGCCTTGCCACCAATGTCCATAGGTGGCAAGTCCTCTGCAGATATGACCGTTACCGAAAGGACTCCTCTCATAATAACATTTTTCCTCCGATTAACATCATATCCATTAGACTCGGTTTTGAGAACCTTCTCCAATGAAGTTAGTTGAATCTGATTAGCAAAAGGGTTAGGAACCCCTTCATGCTTAGCGTAAGGGTAGTAGAGGAGCTCCAGGTGAACCTGAGGAACAAGGAAACATGCAAAATCATTAACTTCCCTGCAAGAAAAAATTGAGGACCACTGTTACATAAATGTATATGATCCAAGTTTTATTTTAAGTTCAATAAGAATACAGGAAAAAGAAAGAACACATACTATTTGAAGTTCACAGAGCAAAGTACTTTCCTTCTATAACAATGGCTAGAAGCCCTGTTGTAATTGCTTATTTTCTTCCTTTCCTCTTTTGTGTCGAACTTTTTTTGTAAGCTGGTTCTCCTTTTTATTAATAAATGCACAGTAGGGGGAAACCCCTCCTGTTTCCATTAAAAAAACTGAAATGTCACTCGGGGTGTCATGTGGGTCAGTATATACAGCTTGAAAGGCAGGCGTTGCATGTGTAGGCGCTGGCCACAGGCACCACAGATGTTAAGAGATAAGTTTTGCAATTGATACATGCTAGGGATACATGTCATTAGCTACAAAGTTATACTCTATTTACCCTCAATCCAACACAGATATATCAAAAGGTGGAGCTGCTGCTAGGTGAACACACATGGTCATATGGAGCTCCACGCTACTTGCCATTATCTACTAAGGTAGATTTTGTTGGAGGTAACAGAGAAAAATCAGCCAGGGCTTACAAACCCAGGCGACTACTCTTTCATATATAGGAGATAAGTAGCACATTGATTACATTGATGGCTCATTAGAGCATTAACTAAACAGCTAACTGCCTGGGTACTTGCACAGTCACTTGTGCTGCCCAAGGCCTTAATAAGCGAAACATAATTAAGCCACAGATAACTAAGTGATAAGCGAGAGCAGGACTTAACTTCTACAGTTCTCCCCTAAGACCGCTTCCCCATCCTTGATCTTCATGATCCCAATCTTGCTTCTCATGTCTTCAAACTTGGCCTTGCCTAAGGCCTTAGTCGAATGTCTCACGCGATTGATCATTTGTGGCGACAAACTCAGTCTTGATGTTGCCTTCTTCAACACAATCTCTCGATGAAGTGTTGTTTGATTCGATATGCTTGCTTACATCATGAAAGATGGGGTTCTTTGCAAGTGCTATTGCGGGCCCGGTTGTCAACCCTCGGTTCCACAGTCTCCACCTTTCTTCCCAACAAGTCGACCAACAATCTTGTGACCACGGGGCTTTTGTGTTGTCTGCTGAAGTCATAGCCACATATTCAGCCTCACAACTAGACAAAGCTACACCCTCCTGCTTGATAGATTGCCGGTGACCAAGCTGTTGCCAAAAAGAACAGACAACCTGTTGTGCTTTTTTTTGGAGTCAATATCACCGGCTAGAGTCGAATCACGATAGCCCACAAACCTAGCAGAATTTGGGGCTCTTTTGAGCTGCAGACCATAGTCCAATGTTCGACCAAGTACCTCGGCACCCTCTTGATCGCTTCTTTGGTGCTCGGTGGTCGGTTTCTCCAAGAATCTGCTCACATAGCCCCGAGAAAGCTAAATCGGGCTGGTATGAACCGGGTATCTCAAGCTTCCAACTTGACCTCCTATCTTGAGTTGGATTCACCTCCTTGGCGATGCTATGCTTCTTTGAGCTTCAGCGCTCTTCCATTGGTGTAGCTGCTTTGGATTGCAATCGGACATGCTTCCCAGTTCTAGGATTTTCTTGGCATAGTGAGTCGCCTCATGGTGATCCCATTCTTGCCTTCTTTGCACTTCAATGCCAAGGTAGAAACCGAGCAAACCCAAGTCACTCATCTCAAAGGTGGATTTCATCCTTTCCTTGAAAGCCTTTACTTCATCTTTGATCGCTCGGTGATGATCGGATCATCAACATAGACCCCAACCAAAGCAACCTTGAGCCCTCAAGAACCTTTCTGTAGATTGTTGCTTCATGTTTGCTCTGTTTGAACCCCATTTCCTTGAGTAGAGTCCAACTTAGCGTTCCATACAGGTGCTGCTTCACCCATACAAAGCTTTGTCTGAGCGATATACCTTGCTTTCTTCCCTGGGAATAGCAAACCTGTGGCTCTTTGGACATATACTTCTTCCTTGAGTTCTCCATTTAGAAAAGTGACTTGACATCCATATGATGGACAGTCCATCCTTCTGGGCAGCTAGAGCAAGCAAAGTGTCTCTTGATTCTATCTTGGCATAGCAGAGCGAACACATCCTCATAATCAACACCCTCTTCTTTGCACAAACCCACGAGCAACAAGCCGAGCCTTGTGCTTGATCACATCTCCTTTCTCATCTTTCTTGACTTGTAGACCCATTTTAGAGAAATTGGCCGATGGCGGACATTCGGGGGAGACACAAGCTCCCAGTGCCATTGCGCTCAAGCATGTGACTCCTCTTTCATTCTCGCGCCATGCAGGATCATCTTTTGCCTCTGCATAAGAAATGGGTTCCCAGTGGGTGAGGTGGAGCTCATGAACAAAATGGCTATGGCCATGGTGAACTTCTGCTCCCGCCCAATATGCCATCTATAGTGCGAGAAGTAATTGCTTCGTCGTTGTGATAAGTATCCAGCCGTTCCTCATCATCTTCCAAGGAGTCACGTGCTCCACTTGTGGGTGGCTGGAGTGGTGATGGTGAAGGCGTTACGGATGTCTCAGACACCTCTTCTCTGTATCAAGCACCGAATTCTGCTTCTTTGGGAAGGCTTCTTGTGAGGCGAGAATGAAATTTGAGGAGATGAGTGTGGCCTGA